TTCCGGGTCCTAAATAATCACCACACGGCTTGCCCCGGCAGACCGTGACAGAACCTGAATTCATCATTTGTTCCACTAGGAACACCTTGATTGTGTTCTAGCTTTCCTTAAGCTGCACCTCAAAAAGCTCAAAGGTTACACTCCTTTTAGTCAATGAATGACTGTCAAGACATCATTGGTACTTTTTTTTGGTTTGTTTGTTTATACAACAGAAAAAGAGAATCCAACATTAACCTAACACCCTCTTTTTTTTTTTTCTCGTGGAAACAGATGGAGTCTGTGTCTTTCCCACCGCTGTCCAGGGTTGCCGTTTCTGGTGGCACTCATGGAAATGAGATGACAGGGGTTTATATGGTGAGACATTTGCAGAAAGAGAAGATAGATAAAATTGGATCTGTTTCTGTCTCCACTGTCCTGTCAAACCCACGGGCTGTGGAGATTTGCAGGAGATACGTAGAAACCGACCTTAACCGCTGTTTCACAGAAGCCTTGCTAAAGTAAGTTCAAAAACGAAACTGACGCCAAAGCTTTATGTAGGTAATGAAGTTTTAAAGGTTTTGGCTAACTGCGCTGCACTGTGAGAGCAAAGTAAAACTTTTCAAATCTGCCATGTGTGAGAGACGTCTTTGTTTTATTTTCCCGATTCTAGTTCCCCTGTAACAGATTCATCACCCTATGAACTGAGGCGAGCTCAGGAGCTGAACGCTCAAATTGGGCCCAAAGGAAGCAAAGAGGCTGTGGACCTGCTCATAGACATCCACAACACCACTTCCAACATGGGCCTCTGCCTCATCCTTTACTCCATAGACTGGCTCACCCTGCACATTCTCAAGTACCTACAGGTACAAGAGTACTACAAACAGATATTTCGAGTCATGCACTCAGAATTTGCATCTATAATGTTTCTGATAAAGAAAATATGCATAAACTGTGAACTACTAGAGGTCTCATATCTTCAAGTTTAAATAACTTAAATTTTGCTAAAAGTCAGGTTAATCTTCGCAGTGATGGTATGGTGAGATAGCAGCAGCTGTTTTCAAAAGCAAGAATGCAAATAAAACAAATAAATAATAGAAACAGTGCTTACCTTCTTCAGTAATGGATGATTGAAAACTTGGACCTATTATTTATGTTAATCACCAAAGTAATTCAGAAATTCTGGTGAATCCTCAGTTCATTCCCATACCAAAAGTTAAGGCACTAACTGGCCACTTTATTGGACACTAGTCACCTGTACTGAGTTGGGCTTTTACTTCCAGAACTGGCTTGATTCTGTGTGGCACAGATTCAACAAAGTGCGGGAAACATTTCTCAAAGATGTAGGTAATGTTCTCAGGTGTTCTACTGGACGGGGATCTGGTGACTGAAGCCATTTAAATACAAGAAGCCCATTTGAGATTATTTGAGTTTTGTGACATGATGTGTTATCCAGCTGGAAGTAACTATCAGTAGATGTGTACATTGTGGTCATAAAGGTTTGGACCTGATTAGCAAAATTACTAGGGTTAAATGCTCAGTCGGTAACAAAGCGCCCAAAGTGTCCCAAGAAAACCCTTTTATAACTTTCTGAAACTTTGATACAAGGCAAGGTGGATCCATGCCTTTATGTTGTTTGAACCAAAGTCTGACCCTAATATGTTGCATCAGAAATCAAGACTCATCAGACCAGACAACATTTTTTTAAATCTTCTGTTGTGCAATTTTGGTAAACCCATATGAATTGTAGCCGCAGTTTTCCAGTCTTAGCTGATGGCAGCAGAAGACCACACTGCAGAGATGCTGTTCTGCATACCTTGGTTGTAACACATAGTTATTTGGGTAACTGTAGCCTTCTTGTTAAATTGAAGAAGTCTGGTTATTCTAAGACATTTCCATCCAGTAAAATGCTGCTCGCTGGATATTTTCTCTCGTTCAGGCCATTCTCTGTAAACCTTAGAGATGACTGTGTGAGAAATTCTCACTAGATCAGCAGTTTCTGAAATGCTCAGATAAGCCTGTTTGGTGCCAACAACCATAATATATTCAAAGTCACTTCCCTATTCTGATGCTCAATTTGAACTTTAGAAGGTCACCTTGACATCTCTACGTGCCTAAATGTGTATTGTTGCCATGTGTTATCATGTCATTAATACCACAGACAATAACAGATACAAATACAATCCTGTCAGTAATCCTCCCAAACACCAAAGTTAACCCCATTAAGCTGTATAATGTGTTGTCTTCAAGCACCAATTTTAACTAAACTGTCCGAGGATTTTTTCTTAGTCTTTGTTTTAATGTTTCTACTGGGTAGTAGTATTTTCTAATCAAAAAACTTAGAGTATGTCTGTGTTGCTTGTACATCACTCATGCAATTATGTTCTTAACTCAGTAAAATCAGGTTATAAAGCTATAATCAAAATCCGGGATAAACATGTAGTTTATTTTAAAGCTCAGCCTATCGTACCTAAGCACAGTGTGCAGTCGACAGTAAACATATTTGATTTTCAGAGTAAAATGGCTTCTGTGGAAGTTAGAGCAATCCAGCTGGACATACCGATCGCTGAGGCTTATTCTTTAGAATCGGTCGGCAAGCATGGCTTTGGTAAGTGTGTCTGTGTGCATCTTTTGCAAAGCTGAGCTTATTAAATATTTAGATGATTGTTCCCCTTGTTCTTTGCAGCAATAGAGGCTGGCCCACAGCCCAATGGTGTGGTCAGAGCAGATATCCATAACTTGGTGAAAGAGGCAGTGGATCATATATTCAGTTGGCTTCAGGAATTCAATTCTGGTAAGATGCTACCGCTTTTAAAATGCCCCTTCTTATAAGCTTTGGTTTAAATATTTATTTAAATAATTTTGTAGTCTGTAGTTGTTCAGTTAGCTGCTTTTTTTTTACAATTGCCATGGCAATATCTTCAGCTGTGGCCAAGCTTTTAATTGCTGCATGCAGGAGAGCTAACACGTATCACACAGAGATTCATACAGTCAGCAGATAACATAGTTGAGCAGGCTACACCAGGTCATAAATCTAAATATGAGAATAAACAAGAATTGTTCCCATTACACAAACAAACAAAATAACGAGGTGAAACATATCTGATGCATATGCTTCCCCACATGTGTAATGTACTGTGTAATTAACCAATTAATTATAGAATGCATCCTGTGGCTGGAGCTTCACCTCACCTGATGTTTCAATGGGAGCAGGGACTAAAGTGGCCTCTGCAATTTGTTAGATATATAAATATTTGGTTAATGACACATGTTTTTTGTCATTTTGCTGCTGTATGCTACAACAGTTGGTTCAAACAGTCATCACATGAATAAAGTGCAGACTTTTTACTTTTATTGAAGAAGTTCATCAAAAGCATTGCATTAACTCTTAAGGTATTACAGTCGTTTTTCAACACAGTTCCCTCATTTTCCGAGGGGTAGCTTCACTGGAGAAGCTTTAAGTCATCACAAATCAGTAAACCAGACGGCGGGGTTAACCGTGAACAATTATGCAATGGCAAACAACAACATCAGGTGGACCTACAGTGGCAAAATCAAACCATAGCTCTTTGTGAAATTACTCCTTTAACTCTGCACTTTTATCCTCATCAGGAAGCACATTTGAAGGGGGTGAAGTGGAAGCATACACCTTGGTGAAAAGCATAGATTACCCGAGGAATCCAGTGACTGGGGAAATCACTGCTGCCGTACACTCCCAGTTACAGGTACAGTACAAGATGGGTGCACGTTTTATAGTCTAAGCTTTCACACTGACAGGGGATTTCTTAAAATCACCCCACAATTCTTCAGCTGAGACACCTGAGTTAGAAAACACAAACACTGCAGTTGTCTTTACTCGCGAGGACAAGTGACAGAGCGCTCCTACACGTAAGAGACACTCACGGACTTGTGCTCTGTCACCGTCTGCTTTCTTTATTTATACAAGAGAAATGAATACATTTGTTCAGTGACATGAGCATAAGCGTATGTGATTGTGTGTGTATGTATGTGTGTGTGTGTGTGTGTGTGCAAGGTCAGAACTGCTTGTTCAACTTCTTACTATCGCTGTAGAAAGATTCAGATACAAATATCAGAACACGTTTCATAAAGAACAATCAGTTCTGAGAAATGAAAAGAACAATCAGTTCTAAACAAGGAAAAGGTCATCATGCAGTATTCTATCATCAATAAACTTATATCACTAAAAGCTTATACTGACTACTCAGTACAATTTTCTATTGACACACACTTTTCATTATCTGAGTCTGGGTCACAGTTGCAGCAGTTTTAGAAGCACTTAGGTGCTTCCAAGCTAGCTGAGAACCCTTCAGTCTAGCTTATTGTTATCCTCGGGTCTCCTGCCCATTAGACATGTCCAGTGTCCACAAAATAAATACTGAGTCCTTTGGCAGAATCCCTCACACCCTCAGGTATCCTTGAGAGGTTGTCTAAAAGTTTGGCCTTAAACAAGCCTTCCCAACCTGGTTTCATCTGAACATTTACATTCATGAATTCAAAGACTGTCAAGCAGTAAATGTCGTATTTGCATGTCTTTCTCCAGGATAATGACTTCAAGCTTCTGCAGCGGGGCAATCCGATATTCATGTCATTTTCCGGGGAGACAGTGAAGTATGATGGTGAAGACCTCTACCCTTTCTTTGTCAATGAGTGCGCCTACTACGAGAAGAAGATCGCTTTTCATTTAGCTCGAAAGATAAAGTTGACACTCCCACCCATAAAAGTGACAGACTGAGAGTGCTAAATTTAAATATCCCAATTTTAAATGATAATAAAGTAGGAAATGAGAATTATTCTGATCATTTGAAATATGCAAATGAAGGTGTGTTTCACAGGCTCTAGAGTTGAAGTCCACGCATTTGATGTTCTTTAAAGCTAAATTTAACATGCAGAAATCCTTTATGAATGAATGACTGAATAAATGAACATGAATGAGTTTTAACTACAATCTTCTTAGCACTGTGTATTTGATTTGGATTTACATAAAATAAATGGATCAGCTCAATTATCAGCAGGAATATGCTCATCAGTCAGAGCAACTACATGCTCCAGTGTGTTTATCAAGTACACTTTACAACATTGGTTTGTCCTAACATTACACTGTGAGTGATGAAATGATCAATGACAGATGCAAAAGAAATCTATCATATTTATCTACTAATCATCAAAGTCTTTTTTAAGCACAAAAGACTTTGATGATTTCAGTTGTCTCTGTATTCCTTACACGTTTTAAATCTTTCAGCAGACACTTTATAACTGTGTTAAGGAAAATTTGTTATAAATAAAGTTAATTGTATAATACAAGCATGTAGTAAGTGGTTCTTAACACAGTGCACAGCTGCAATTGAGAAGCCTTTGTTTTAAAGTAATGATCAAAAAAGCCCATAAAACAAAAAATATTACTTTGACCTTGAGCACAGTTCAGATGAAGATCCGTTAAGTGGTCACGGTGTGCAACTTTGAGTGAAATCTGACTAAAACTCTGGGATGAGAAGCGATTCTTGTCAACTGTGGACGAAACAGATGACCGACACCTCTCAGATCATCAGCAATATCTTAAATATTTCTACAATCAGTTCCAAATGTGCAAACACTTTTTTAACTACTTACACTAAAATCTGACACTGCAGGATTAGCTGTAGGTCCTGTTCTTTGGAGCAAGCTGCCTGCTGACCTGAGATCAACTGGATCTTGAAAAGGGTCTTGAAAAACCCTTCTTTTTCACACTCTATAGGAGTGCATTTTTCTTTTTCAAATTTTCTTTTGTTGTTTTCACAAAATATGTCAAATTGCAATTGTTCTTCCTGAAGATGTGTAAGACAAGACAAGACATTGTAAGCTTGTAAGTAAGAACTCATCATCTTTACTCGTCTCCTTTAACCTCCTAAGACCCAAACTCTTTCATGGCATGCATTTTTAATTTTTGTTTGCTGATTGGGACCTGATGAATGTAAAAACAGAATTACCTGATCTTTTTTTTTTTTACCTGATTTTTGTTTCTGAGAAAAATTAGATCCACATAAGAGGTCATTCATTTTAAATTTCAATAGAACAATGGCAGTATAATGTCCTCATAAGTGGATACCAGGCCCCTGTAGAGCAAAATTTAGTATTTTGGTCTAGACAACCCAAAATGTGATGTCCACATATGTGAACGCCAGGTCCTAGGAGGTTAAAAGAATTACATGAAACAAACATAAAAGTCAGCAAATGCCAAATTTATTAAGACAGTGTGAATATCAGTACAGTGTGCTTCTGGATACATAAAAACATTTACAAAAAGCCAGAGTGTATACACGTCAGACATGTAACAAATCATTCTGACACAAAACATTACAGTTTGTTTTGTTTAGTATTCATCAGTGCTGACATATTACTCATTTTGGGCTTTTATACACACAGAAATGTGTAAGTGGTCACAGATTCAAGAGGATTTGAACTTTTTGGAAAATTTGATTGTTATTTTAAAAAGTTAGACTGAAACGCTGACATACTGTATCAACAGTAAACATCTGAAAGCTTATCAAACCAGTCAGACAAGTAACTGTTTGAAAGGATGGGAGAACCAACTCCAGCCTGCAAACATTTAGGTGGTGTTGAGCAGCAAACCCTCTGTAAAATGGCAGTATAGCAGATCATTTGGGGCTTAAGGTCACAGGTTTGTGTGGCATCACTTTAGCTTTTTTGTTTGTCTTTTTAAATATTCAAACTAACTAAATTAATACATCTACAAACACAGGCGACAGATGAGTGGTCACATTTGTGATGACACTTAGAAAATACCACAGGCTGAAATGAACAATCACCACAGACGATGATGAAAAGGCATGCACAGGCTGGATATTTAAAATTATGCAAAAACAGAACTGCAGAAAAAAAAAAAAGTAAAACAAATAAAATAAAATAAACTCTTGTTTAATATTTTTTCATGCACAGAGAAAGCTACCATGTCCTGGATAACTCCAGGTGTGAAGTTAAGGGCAATGTGGTGAGCAGCTTCAGAAGAAAATGGCAACCAAAAAGAAGGCAATAAAATAATGCACAAAAAACATGGTTAACACCAGAAATAGTAAGTGATCTGCAACCCTTAAAGTTTAAAACCATTAAGAACATGCTTTGGGTAAAACACAGGTTAGAAATGCAAGAAAAAGCACTGGTGAAATAACTCAAATGGTATTAAAACACCACTCCTTTCTACAAGTCTGAGATACCGTAAATTCGTTTTTTTTCTCCTTTTTTTAAGTATGAAAATTCTGTTACAGATGAAGTGAAAAGCACCCTTTATCCTAGTTACATCCTCTCCTAACAGGAAACCATTTTCTGAGGATGTAATGAAACCCGTAAGCTGTCTTAAACTGTATGATTGTCAGTCTCTCTTTTACGCTACCCTGTAAGCGGTCATGCGAGTGTAATTTTTGCGGTGACTTTTGGCCGCCCACAAGAACAGAGACGCTGCCATCATCTGCAGAGGGAAGGATATGAGGGCAAGGTAAAGAGACCAGCCCAAGGTGCCCTCCACCCCATCAGGCAGAGGGAAATACTGGTGGACCAAATCCACCCCGGCCAGGAAACAGCAGACGGTGCCCAGAGAACACAGACCTGAGGAGTCAAAAGCAGTGATGAAGGAACGGGATGAGATCGTGTAAACGTTTATGTTTGTGGTCATTTGGATCTTAAAAAAAAAAAAAAGGACTAAGCTTCTAATGCAAAGCAGAAACAAATCTAGCAGATGAACTCCACCTTCATTGTACTCTGGCTAAGACCAAAGTAAATGAATGAAAGCAGAGGGAGGTTTTTGGTTGAACAAATGTTCTGTGCAGTGGTTTTCAAAGTGGGTTCTGGGGACCCTCAAAGGTCATCAGTCTCAAAGCCTTAGGAATAAGCACCGCTGGTTTTGGATGATTTGCATACATTTTGACTTCTGTTGTGAATCTTTGTAGAGACTGCAATGTAACCTGGCTGACATTGGTGCTGGCATTTATCTCAGGGCAAGTGCATTATTTGTTAATTGCTGTGTGGTCGTGTCCGAGGGTTTTACACGCACTGCCAGCCAAGATGAAAACAAACAGAATTCTGGGACTTTTTTCCCCTCCCAGGTCCCCACTCTTTATTATGGTCAGTTTTTATGGGGCAAACATATTTGTCCCTCAACTTTTTCCACTTCTTCCCTCATGTCAATTCCAATAGTTTCAACAAACTCCCTCCAGGAACTTGGTGACAATCATACCGATGCTATGATTGTTTTCTCTCACTGATAAATTAAGTAAATAAGTAGCTGGAAATTCACAGGAGGAATCACAGTGGTTGCAGGCTGTGTGAACCAGGCGTGTAGTTACATTTCTAGGAAGGTGCACATCAGGTTAAGCAGTACGTTATGGTGTAGGATTTTATAGGGTTCTGGGTATCTATAGCCCTAGTAAGCCATGCACAGCTGAAGCCAAAAGTCACTACAGAGGGGTGTACTACCAAGTATGTTCATAGCCAGGATTACTTTGTGTAAGCTAGCTTCACAAAAGTTAAAGGTCCTCTCAGAGATAATAGGTATCACACTGGTGGGCATTGACCATCTTTGTTCAACCGGGCTTTGTGCTTCAGGTTCTCACATAAAAAAGGTCATTTGACGCATCATTGGACTCCTCTTCAAAATGGATTGGCTGAATCAATCGGAGATGTTATCAGAGAAACGGGTAACAGGGACGTAAATATAACATTAAGGTGGGGAAAAGAGGACATTAACACTTGCTGCTCTGTGCTTATTTCTACCTTATAGCTCCAACTCTAAAACTTTAAAGTGGATGCAGTGAAACATTAAAGGTTTCTCACTATGGTCAGTTAAAACACTGTCTCAAAGTCATGTGGAATCATGTATATAAAGGGCATGTGGAAATCACCTTTTAATCACTTTTTGTTGCCTGATCAAAGAGACACTAATTGTATTGAATGCACCTGTAACTTGTAAGTTCAAAACTGCATGCCAGTAGCTGCAAGTCCAGCTGTGTAAATGACATTCAGCAGCAGATAAGGACCAACCATTCATTTATACAGTACAGTCTGAGCTGCTGTAACTTCACAGCTGGGTTCATTTGGAGGTGTTAGTAAAGTAAAACTCTAATGTTGTGTGTATATATAATTTATTCCTTCAGCACATTTAAGGCATCCTGTAAATAAAACAAAAGAAATGCTGACTATATTATCCTTCCAACTAATTTTAAAACAAAACTTTAAAAATTAACCTGCTCTGAACCAAGTTACCATGGCAATCCAAGCAGATAAGGAGACTGACTTTAAGCCAAATCATATTCTCACTCCTCAAAAACTCTAAGATACTGTCTGTGTGTTTTCATGGGAGTCTGCTTGACCTAGAACATATTGTGCCACTAGTTTTTGTCAACATTACTCATGCAGTAAAAATAGTAAGAAATTAAACTGTCAGTTCAGAAAAAATGCAAGATATTATAGTTTTTATGCTCTCTTAAAAAAAAACTTGTAAATGTGTGTGTTTCTTTCACCTGCAAGAAGATGGAGCACTCCCACACAGAAGGTCGGGGTAAAGCTGCGGCACAAGCAGGCACAGACCCCAACGAGGACACTGAGGAACACCAGCGCCAGAGACACCAAGGGCAGAAGAAACTGGCACCTCCACAAGTCTGCACAACAATCATTACAGGTTAAACTCAAACTCTGTCAATAATTTCTAATGTTTAACAAATGATGTGCAAGTTAAGACAGTGAAGGGAGCAGAAGTGACCAAGATGGGTTAAAAAAATGTAAGAATCGCTCAGTAAAATGAAAAAAAAACCCAACATATTTTATGAACCACAGGTCTCCCTGAATAGATTGAGGGAGAGTAAGGACACACTCACATGTTCTTAGCAGGTCTTCTTCTTCCTCATTTCCAGGTTTATACTTTGTACCTAACTGATCAGAAAGACTAAAGCTTGAACAGCGGGTTTCCATCTTGCGATCTAAAACCAAAACAGTCAGAGAACACAAATCCAACTAAGTTTTCTCATTAATTAACAATGTAAAGCATTTAACACGGGACTGGGCATTATAACAATCAAGTGCACTGGTTAAACCAATCCTGAGTGCAGAAAAGTCAGTGATGTAAATCAATGTGCAGAATTAATCTAAATAAAATTCCTTAAAGTTAAAAATGGATTTTAACAGACAAATGATCTTGTTCCAGATTTTCTTCTTAAATTTAGAAGGCAGCACTATCATCAAACAAAGTATTGGTCAGTGAGGACGCTGAACAGGTGTGCCACTGTGAGTAATACCTGGAGATTTGAACCAGTATGAGGGGCTTGCTACCAGGATACACCTCCACCATAGTGCCCGAGTGCCGTTGGGGAATACGGGTTCGCTGTGCGTTGTATTATTAACTTCTGGGGTATTGTACTCATACCAGTGCTGAGTCCCCACAGCCACGGAGAGGTACACCGTGGCCAGCAGGCTCAGCACGGAGCCGATAACCAGAGCTGTGGCGTACCGGTTATCCACCATGGTAGAGAAGAAGACAGCTCCTTAGGAGAACAAACACAGTCTGCAGTGTCAAATGAGGTTTGGCTTCCTGAGATGGAAGGCTAACAATTAGATGTCGGCTTGTTGCTTTGGCTCCACGGCATGTGGTCAGTAGGCACTGGAAGTGTCACAGTATCCGAGCATTGTGCTTTCTTCAGTTAAGCTGCATGTTTGCTGCAGTTTCGATTAGGTCCACAGAAGCGTTCACAGCCTGCCGAGGAATCCAACATAAAAAAATACATAAGCAACAAGTACGCAATACGAGGTAGTTAGCGTCGTTTGTAGCTTAATTAGCCTGTAATTAGTGATCATAACTGCTTTGTACTCATAATTAATGTTATTAACGTTTAATCTGCTTCACATTGCTAACAATAACAAAGACAGCTTTCTCACTTGTGTCAGGAAGTTAGCATCCTACTTGCCAGCTAACGCTAAACATAGCTTCTTGCAGCAGAGTGCGACATTATCGAGTTATTTAACAGACACCTGAACGTTACAGATTTCACTCGAGCTCTTTTTTTTTTTTTTACCTCATTATTGGCCAAAACCTTCCAGTTATAGCCCTATCTTATCTTCTCTGCTCTATCAATTTGTGGCTGACCTCCGCTTTCTTCTTCGCCTGTTTTTTCTTCTTCGTTTGATGGAATGAGTTTGTGCATTATGGCCACCTTCTGCTTCGGAGGAGAGGAGGAAACTGAATGTAGAAACCATAACCAAGCGAAGTGCCTACAAACTATAACAATTATAAATATTACATAATACATTTGAAACTACACTTATTTATAAATGTAACCAGACACTATTCAATTTATGCTTAGTTCAATTAAATTTGATTTGTATGGCACCGAGTCACAACAACAGTCATCTCAAAGTGCTCCCAACCAACACTGCCTTGACACAAACTATTTAGGTTCAGGAATAGTCACATATATGTATGCAGTTGGTAAAACCTCAATTTGACTCCTAAAAAACTTTAACACACACACACAAAAACCTTTCTAGTCTTAGTTAGCATGCTTCAACATGCTGAACAGAAAATAATGTGTTTGTGTGTTATTTAACCCAACATGTAACTGGTGCTGTCAGACCCTTTGTACATATGAATAGTAAATCACTTTTTCCTCCATCATCTGACCTGCTGCCAGACCAAACCACTGGCTAAGTCTTAGCTGTTCCCATACCCATAGTCCTGACATGAGCCAGCCCCACTGATACCTAAAGTAGGTGAGTTGTCTTTTGTAATAATAATACATTGTCATTATAAGCCACATAATAAAGCGCTTTGAGTGCTCAGAAGAGTAGAAAAGCGCTATATAAGAACCAGTCCATTTACCATTTACCATAAACAGAGCAGTGCAAGTGTGCATTGCTCTGCATATATTTTGCACACTGTGACTGTTGCAGGTGGTGAGATCTTTCAGTAAGCTAAATCAGTTTAAAAGCTATTTGAGCTTCACTAGGTCTGAAATCAGAAACATATTTTATCTTGCTAGACTTTGTTAGAAAATTAATATCCAAATGATTATTTAAGTTATATTTGCCAATACTTTATATAAAAATACAAATTTTTCTTTTACACCATTTAATAGATGAGAATTTAATTTCATCCAAAAAGTATACACATATGTACCAGTCAATGTAAAAAGAAAATCTAATAACACTATAAATGGATAGCACATATCTCATCAATCTTCTAAACATCTTCTCATCTTCTTTCTAAACAGAAAATTGATCCATGTTTGCAGTATTAAAGTGGTGGCGTCGAAAGTGATATATTTTTCATGGGACTCCAGATCCCTGGTGGCAAAAGAGGTAAAATCAGTCAAGAAGTCTAAGGTGTTTGTCTCAAGGACGGCTATCATTTAAAACAGGGTACATCAAACCACATGTGTGCAGCCTGGGACAAGCAGCCTGGGATCCACCCAGGCAGGGCAACAGTCTGACCTGGAAATCTGAAAAAAAGCAAGGAGCATCATGGGAGATATTTTTCCTGCTTTACCAAACTGCTTTAAGTTACCTGGCTGAAGATTAAGTTTGCACTCTAACATGTAGTGGTGGTGTCTTTATGAACTTCTAACAGGAATGACACATAATGCCTTCTCCTAAAGATTAAACGTGACCCTTCACATCAAGCTGCACAGAGACCCAATAAAAGGCATCGTTTTTTTTATCGGGTTATATCTAACACATTATATTTTTACATTAATGCTTTCTGAGAGTTTTAAATGTATTCTTAAAACACTAAGTCTGAATATTTGCAACAAATTCTACAAAGTTTATATCCTAGTTGTTTTGTTTAGTAACTTGAAACTAGTGGGCTTATCAACAAAAAAATGATGTGATCCTGTGAGAAGTTTGAACTAAAAATTATTTCAACTAACCAGTGAGAGCAGATTCATTAATACTCAGTATATGTGGAACTTTACCAATGGTATTTATTTTACTGATATTTTGGGCACAATTACATGCAAAAACAAATAAACCCAGTATTTAGAAGCCACCTTTAGCAGTAATAACTTGAAGTAATTATTTTCTGTATGATGTTATCTGTCTGTCACATCATTGTGTTGATCTGTGGAACCCAGTACTTAACATCTGGACTGGCTCTCTGTTTAAAAAGTCTAGTCTCTGATCCCATCGATACTACCCAGAAGGCAGTGCAGAGCTAGGATGGAGCCAAAGGGTAAAAGTATTCACCCAGTTCTAACTGCCTATCTATCCTGCCTACTCTGACAAAGTATCTGGCCCTAGGTAGCCTTGCAGGCCCGGTATCCTACTTTACTTATTTTTACTTTAAAAAAAAAAAATGAATGTCCACAATTTAAACTTTTTGAATGATGGATATTTTATTAGAGCAATTTAACAGGAGAAAAGCTCGCTTTTTATACTCATTTACCCATTTGCATCTCCCCTCTTTCACTTTTATCTTTAGACATCCAATCACCATTGTTGACATACAATCACATGACTTCATAACACAACAGAACCAGAAAACTATGTTTGATTATATTTCACAGATACCACATTCGATCAGAAAAAATATGCAAAACAATTACACAAATAAGCAAAGCAGTATTGTAGAAAATGATAACTGTGTTTACTAAACAGATAAGGATAAGGCTGCAAACACTAATACAAGCCACAAGGTGGAGACAACAGCTAGAGGAGACCTGAAGACATGGAAGAAAGCAGAGAGACAGATTACTACTACTACTAATAATAATAATAATAATTTACTTTCTTTTGTGTGAAGTATTTTTATTATATTTTTATTATATCGAATTGGCACATGTGACATGTTTGTATCTCCTTTAAATATTTAAATACTAGTTCAACTAACAGTTCCAAGCTTAATATTTGAAGAATGAATATACAAAAAAAAATCACTTTACTTGAGAGAATATGAATCTTACCGTGAAAAGATGTAACAGTTGTGTGAGCTGTTCAGTCCCGACTGTTTCAAATCAATCTCAAGGTATTGGTCATCATCCGATGTAGTTTTTGTTTTCACTTGTTCCACAGTGAAAACTTCTGCTGGAGATAAGAGTATTTCATCCTGTTCTTGACCGCACACATAGTCTTTCAGGTTGACAAAGAAGCAAGAAGTGAGATTTAAAATAGTATTCTTATTGACATCTTCAAATCTCTTCAGCTCTTCATAGTCTGAATAAGCTAAAGTGAAACTTGTAAATCTCACTGTGGAGCCTTTCTGTGGTTGGTTTTGACCATCTTGAAAAACATAAAAGTTCTTGCACTCCTTTGGCTTCAGCAGCCTCATGGAGTCCATCAGCAGGAAATGAAGAGACTTGAAGTTGAAGTGGTTTTCATAGATGCTAACATTTCCACCCATTGTCTCTATTGCTTTGTTCAGTGTTAGTATGAAAGGCCGATCTCCTTTAAGATAGACTGAAAGTGCAGCACTATGCTCTTTTCTTCCTCCTGGAATCTGTTTTGAACACTCGTTACTTTTATTCCACGCTTTCTGAAATCCTTCACTGCTGCTTAGTTCTTGTTTTAACACGTCTGACTCGATGAACTTCTTCATGGCCTCTTCACCACATCCTTTGTACTGGTCATCTACAACATCTGTGCTATTTAGAAAATCCAGTAGTCTTGTTTCCTGTGCAGTCACCTTTAATTGAGATTTATCACATTTAAAAACCCATTTTTAAATTTATAATTTTTCTTACTTTCTAATATTTGTTTGAATCACGATTCTTACTTTGCTGCAGGCAACTGTGAAAATTATTGCAGCAAGCACTTTTCTTCTGTTCTCCATTTTTTGGCCTCTTTGTCTTCTACATAGTGCAAGAAAGCCCTGAAACATCAAATATGGATAGAGAAAGTTCGGTAACACTTTACATGGTCCAGAAACTTGGAAGTGACAAAATCTAAAAGACTGAAAAGACTAAAAACTTCCCTGAAGCAGGGAGAACAGCAAGGGGCCCATCAAACTGCAGGAAAGCGAAAGCAAGGGTTTGAGGAACTGGAACAAGTTATCATACAGTGCAGCCCTTTAGTCTTTCCTGTGTAAGAAAGTAACTTGTCACTGTTACACGACAGTTACTTTTTCTGCTTTCTGCTTTAGTGAGGAACATTACTGTGTTCCTGTAAGCTGGTTCAGGTTTAGCCCCTTTAAGCTTGGCCATAAATTATCTTTATATCTCTGATCTAGCATGGCTTCAGTATAGCTCATGGGGGCAAATACCTCAGTACCTCTTCAATGCAGACTTTATAAAAAATGAACTGGAGCCTCACAGATGAATATAAATAACATTTAGCCTTTACAGCGAATGTGTGTGTGTGCGCAATCAGCTTTTATTTCATTGATGTGTAGCTTAATGATGAGTGTTACATTTAGACAGTAGTTATCGCCCTGCTGCTGGACCAAAAAAAACTTACTGATGTCTGAAATGTCTGTGTAATAAGACTAAATTCATTGCAAAGCATTTTACATTTTATATGCTCTTTATTTGTCAGAGACATGGAAAGATACATCAAGGTGTGGTTTCTTTAGAAGCAAGAAGATAATCGCTGACTAACTCAGGAAACACACTGACGACATGTGTAAGCATGTTTATCGTAAAAATCTGCTCCCTGAAAAATCGCCACTGAGGAAAATGTAAAAAGTGAAGAAGTTCACTAATGTTGAGAGAAAGTTCAATAAAGAAATTGATGTTGAATTTAGTTTTATGGATAGAAAAATCTATCACAGTCACAGTTCATTAATATTAATAAATTTTTAATAAATGTTCTGATTTTCTATGTGCCACTCTGCCTTGTTCTTGGTCTTCTCGTGCCAGCCCATTGACAAAATCCTGGAAACACTCCGGCTGTGGGAGTTAAAGTTGCCACCATAAACTCCAGAATACCTAGTCTGAATCCAGCTGGGAAAAGCTGCAAGTTATTCCCATCTCTCGTTTCTTATCATCCTTTTAAAGGCACACAATGCTTAACAAGAATCACTGAAAGTATAACGCATATTATCCATGAATTCAGCCTATAATTTATAACATATGGCAGAAACAGAAAACATTATTTGATTATATTTTGGTAGGCTAATGCAACACCTTATTTGGCAGATAGCACAATCTGCCAGACAAAGTACCAAACACCTGTAAGAATAAACAAAGCAGCATTGTAGACGATAAAATTCTGAATGATAACTGTTTTTGCTAAACAGTTAAAGAAAACAAAGATAAGGCCGCAAGCACTGACGCAAGCCACAGGGTGGAGACAACAGCTGGAGGAGACCTGAAGACATGGAAGCAAAGTCGAGAAAGAGATTAGTGTAATAGCCATCCATCCATTTTCTGCCACTTGTCCGGCCTGTAGATATGGAAATAAAACAGTAATAATAATAATTTACCTATTTCTCTCTGTGACAGTTGTGAAAGGTTCCAGTTCTCCTGAGACCCTGAATTGTATAAGCAGAATATAATACTTTAAGCGAAATGTGCTGATGTGTGCGTTCGTTTACTAATGCTGTCAGCATTATCAGGCCAAACTATTCAAACCACATCCAAAACACTACCAGGGTTTCATAATCCTGTTTGGTTTTTTTCACTTTTTATGTCACCTCATGCTTTCCAGCTGGGAAATCTTTAAGTTTATCAAAACCTCGAGTATACTTTGTATTTACAGCATCTGTTACAGCCTGTAACAGAGCAACAGGCTGTTTTATACAACACCAATTATTTTCCCCGCTTGTTAGAAGTGTTCAGCTACATTTTTTTTTAGAAAAATTAAATACTTATTGAGACAAATAGGTATATTTTACAATTTTCTTGTGTGGCTTGTGAAGTATTTTTCTTATATGTACTTTGGACAAGTTAAATGTTTGTATTTCCTTTGTGTGTTTAACACCACAATGAAAATTATTTAAGCACTTCAAAGTTTAATGTTTGGGAAATAAGCCTACAAAATATTTAATTTTAATTGAGATAATATGTGTCTTACCTCGGAAAGATAAAACAGTTGTGTGAGCTTTTCAGTCCTGAATGTTTCAAAACAATCTCAACATATTCTTCACCATCCTCCACAGTTTTGCTATTTACGCCATCCACAGTGAAAACCTCTGCTGGAGATAAGAGAAATGTATCCCCTGCTTTAGTACAAGTGTGTTCTTCCAGGCTGACAAAGAAACAAGATTTGATATTTAAAATGATGTCCTCAAACAGATCATAATAATTGTTTGGCTTTTCATAGCTTGAATGAGCTAAGGTGAAACTTGGAAATCTC